ATATATATAGAGAGAGAGAGATGTATATACATATATACACATACAGATAGATATGTAGGTAGATAGATAGATAGATAGATAGATAGCTAGGTAGGTAGGTAGGTAGGTAGGTAGGTAGGTAGGTAGGTAGGAGGGTAGATAGATAGGTAGATAGATAAATAGATAGATAGATGGATAGATAGACAGATATGCTAACACAGATATAGGAGCTATAACGAGTGTTTTTTGCAAAGTTCCCAGACCTCTGCATTCTATTGCCCTCGTTGCCTCAGTCTTCATCATCTTCTTGTACTGCCGCTTGCCCTTCTCGTCGCCACGCTCCTCGGGTTCTTCGGGCCAGCGCTAGGGCAAGAGAGTTCGGCGCAGTGCCGTTGGGCACTGTGGGCCAGGGTTTTAGTTCAGGGGTTTACGGTTAAGCCCTGGCTCACACGGGGCCTGCAATCTCATCGAAAGCACTCCAAGCAGTAGGGTTTGGCGCTTCGGGATTTCCATGCTTGGGGTCGTTCGCGGTTCAGCATTCCCGAGGACTCTGAAGTACTTGTTAGATAGTCTAACATGTAACATAGCAGATACTACATGCTGTTTTAAGAAACAACTATGCTTAAATCTAGTTCAGAATGCAAGAAAATTGTGCAATCCAGCGAAGCCCACGAAGCTGAAAAGAGCAAGCCTGCTTCTTCAAGGGGTTCTATACGCGCACCCGTATGTTATGATTGTAAAGACCACAACCAAAGGTCAACAAAAGCCCAAACAGGTCGCACTGCCTAAGGCTGCAACCAACATGATGCCACAACAATGTGAATTTCACAAAGGGGCTTCTCATGGAATCCCGAAAATCGAAGGATCATCAAGAGAAAGACACACCCAAAAGAATCCCCCAACGCAAATTAAGGAACACCCATGTCTTGCTGCTTGTAAACGTTGGACGGAGCACGCCTAATTCAAACACCCGGAGAATGGAAGCCGCGCCTGCGGGACAGCATGTCCCTCTTGGAGCAAAATACCGCGCAGGTAGTTGACCTAAGCTGGACACCCTATCCGCCTTAGCCTACCAAAACCTATTCTCTGTCGCATCTGTCGAATGTCGTCTTCGGATATTGAAAAAGCCCCAGGATGAGGTCACTCCTTGTGGGCGAAGGCTTACAGAACAAGTAGAACATACAAAGCACAACGCAACCAACTGCGTGATAACGGCATGAGGTATATTGAAGCCTATAGAGCCCGAAACTCTACTAACCTTTCAAGCGAAGCGTGCTAATCACTCAGCGCCCCTTCGGAAAAGGTGTTATAAGGGCCTTAATTACTACAGAAGTTTTTTTTTTTTTTTTTTT